AGACTGCGACCCTAACAGAGGCCACAACATCTTGGTCTTCATATTTGGTGGTTCTACATGTTTAGCAATTAGAGTATCAACTTATATTTCAATCTCAACTTGTAAAATAGTAAGTTGCACTGAAGAGATTTTAGTGAAGATTATTAATTTTACTCACCGATTAGCAGAAGAACCTAGAAGTGAGATTAAAATTCAGGTTGCTCTTATAATTAATATCCATGTAGAATCACCAAACAAGAATAGGTCGATTAATAATATCATTGAGAAATAATACAACACTAATTTATTTACATAGACAAAAGTTGTGACCACCTCCGCTCCCCTTCCTGCTTCACTTTAATTCGACTACATATATGTAACACAAGCATAAAACAGCCAACCAAATCATGGAATGCCTCATTTGGCTCGCAAATTGAGATATAAGAAATGAGTAGGATCTCAGCTGGCCACCTTTCTTGGTTTAGTGCTTTTGGTGATTGTTCGTGAATAATGGTTTCTGGCTCTGGCGACGTCCGTCATATGACGGATGAAAGCTTAGCACTGAATCATCAAGGTCGTAGGATGGTAGGCTGAGGTCTTATTCGCACAATTCAACAGACAAAAGCCCAAGGCAAGCCTACTTCGGCATCCGATGAGGCCAATCTACTAATCCCTTCCAAACGCCTTCTCAAATGAGTATCAATATACTAAGGGATTCTTCCTATCTCAGCATCTCTTCATAAATAACATGCATGATTTCTTTCATAGAATGAGTAAACAATACAACTGCAATCATAGCAGTTTACAATTCCTTTAGTACCGTATTCAAAGCACTTTATTGAAACCAGCCAAATACGATCAATATAATCAGAGATGGCAGGCTCATTAAGTTGACATGAATTAAATCTACTGGTACACTTAGTATAATCAAGAATAATAGCTTTTTTCACATAGTTAAAAGCTAGCTAGTCATGCAAAAGAGCCGCGGACAATAAAAATATCAAATATCAAGCACTAATGAAATTAACGTAATTAAACGCCAAAAACATACCGAGAATAAGTCCAAAATGCCTTGCGGTTTGACCAGCTTCGATTGCTTCGCGTCGGGTTCGGCGCATCTCTAAATGATTATATGTTTCCCGAGTAAGCCGTTTATCATATGGGTCATAACGATAGGCAGGCAGATTAGGATTGGCAAGCATTACTGATTCCAAATGAAAACGACCGTCACCAAGATAGAGAAGGATGTCTGCATCAGGCAACTTGATGGTTAAAGTGAAAGAATGTAAAAATGAAAGGCAAATTACTACTTAATGAATTCACAAAATCACCCTTAAAAGTCTTTCATAAGCCCTGAACTATATATATTCATATTAAATATTCCAGCTATTAAGAATAGTCCAGGCTCTAGGGACTAGTAAGTTAAGGAGCTCCAAGCCCAGAATAGCGTTTACAAATGGAGCTGATCATTTAAAGCATAAAAAAGCTCCTGCTGAAGAAAGTTGGGTAAATCTGGTGCTACACACGAAATTTTTGGATTTAGGAATAGGTTTAAATAAGCATTCACATCACCAATATTAGAGGGATTGGCTCTCAAATACCCGAGTATATCACAATCTCCAAAAAATAGTATACAATTTATGAATGAGTAGGTTTCAATGTCATTAGTAGAGTTGTAAGTTGTAGTCACCCTAAGTAGCATAAGGTGATGAAGAGCTGACAGTAGACTTTTCTTTCAATAATAAGAATAGGCATCATGCCATTGAATTACACATAGCATTGCCCCTTAAAAGGTATTATTGTCTAGGGTGAAGTGCAGTTTAAACCGGACCTGGGTCTCATTAGCTCCTCCAACTGGAGTCGAACCTTGGTAGATATGCGTATGATTTTCACCTTACAACTATGCCGCATTGCCTCGAATGCCATGTCAAAAGGCAGATGCGAATTTTAAAGAAACCCGAGGCTCCTTTTATTTCGCATCTACAATTTATGTAATCAAAGGTAGCAAGACCAAGATGGTGTGGCCTTTTGTATGGTCGCAGTCTCCTTTCGTTGTATTCAAGTTGCTTGACTTTGTTTTCTCAACTTTTTCATATTGATAGAAAGACCTAGAGGAGTGCACCTAATCCGGAGTCCATATTATGCATGATAATTTCCATAGTCGGACATGGTACATTCCCAGACGTTTCGCGGGCATCGTAATTGGCATCGCCAGTGAACAATGCCAGTCTTAGCACCACACTGCAGCTCGTCAGAGACAAGTTAAGCCGGTACTTTGACCAATTGCCTACTAAACAATTGTGGTATCTCTCCTGCCCTGGGCTAATCGCCAAGCTTATATCCTGTTATCACCCCTTCACTATCACAATTTTTACTTGCTTATTAAAATGTGGTATGATGTACCCTTTTGAGTTGATTTAATAATAATTCTCTACATCCCACATTGGCTTACTCACTCCCCCACCACCATTCACCCTTGTGCTTGGAATGTTGATCAGACTGCCATATTGTCCCGCAGTCCCCCCTTATGTCTTATCAGAGTCTCCCTCTTGCTCCGTAAAATCCGTCTGCTATCTGCCTGGTCCAAATATTTCACTCGACCCTAGCCACCCTATCTGTGCTACTCAAGGCATTATTTGCCCCACTCCGCCTCAGGGAGAAGATTTTGAGGCTAAAGACCCCGAGGAATTTACCTGGTCAAGCCTTTGCTTCATGGACCATGTCTATGATCAAACACGTCTACTGTTAGCCAACTTACTGTAATCTCTGCCGCTTCTATCCGTAATACCAAGTTTATGACTTCATATGCCTTAGTATCTTGAGTGACAATCCACAAATGTTGTTGTTATACTTAATTTGATTAGCTTCAATGTAGAACCACCACATTTGCAAATGCATAATATTGGAGAAATTGACAGATTGATAATGAAATCTTTAATAAAAAATCACGCAAGATCATCGACAGCTTACGGACTACCGAAGATAAATAAGGAAACTCGCCGAGAGTAAACAACGTGCATAAAGCAAGACACAAACTAGCAAAATTCATTTGCTTTAAGCTCAAGAAAGTTAAATGACTGACTCTCGAATACTGTGAAGAATTCATAAGAATTTTCTCAAGAAACCCAGAACATTGGGTTGGTGGGGATGGAACTGTTGGTTACATTTAATGTGCAATCCATGTACACAAATATCTCAAATGAGGTGGCAAGCGCCTTGTTGGAGATATTGGAGCAAGAAGATATCCTGGAGGCGGAACAGGTACGGAAGGAACCGTTAGCACGGCTGATCAACTTGACCGTAAGAACAACATAATCTACATTTAAAGGGAGTATCTACGAGTAAATATTTGGAATACCGATGGGATCTCCATTCTCACCTCCTGGCAAATGTATACATGGACAAATTGAAAAGGGAATTCGAGAAGTCACCATTGCAACAGTGTCTATGCGATACTTGGATGACTACTTTGCACTTTGGTCAAATGACGAGTAAAATTTAAATGAATTCCTCAATTTCATTAACCAACTTGATGAAAGAATTAAATTCACAATGCAAGTGAAAGAGGATAAACGTCTACCCTTCTTGATATTGAAGTCATGTGCTCCACCAGGACACTCATGAGGAGAATATACAGAATTCATGCGCGGGAATAATCCTTAATTTTCAGTCTCACCATAACTACAGACTGAATATGGGAATACTGAGGAGTTTGATTATCAAGCTCACGAGCTCACGCACACTGAGTTCTGGGACGAGGAGTTGGACACACGGACATGGATTTGACTTAGTAAGGGTACCCCATAGAATTTACAGAAAAAAACGTAGAGGTTATAAAAGGCAGATGTCAATTAGGATTTTATGAGACTAAGATAGAAATCAGGAAGACCAAAAGTGGATATGGCTGCCCTACTGTGAACTGAGCCAAAAATTGCGATCCTTACTAAGTAAATGGAATATCAAAATGATGACAAAGGAGAAGACAACACTTTTCACCAGTCTACCGACGCAACACGAGAAGACTGACAAAATGGATTACTCGGGAGTTTATTGCGCCAAATGAGGCAACTGTAAGCAGAAGTATATTGGCAAAATAATAATAAAAATAGACCTACGAGTCAAGGAACATCGAAGACTCTGAAATAGCGGAACACACTGCACGAACGGGATACGAAATCGACAAATACCGGTGCACATGGTGAAAACACGAGAAAACGCAGGATTCGAGGCGATTGATATACTGACTAAAATAAATCTGCTTGACCATGAAAATTACTCGGAGTCTTTAATCTCAAACTAGTCTCCTTGAGGCAGAATTTAAGAAATAACGCCTCGAGCAGCCCAGATCGAGTGGCAGGGGTCGAGTGAAATATTTGAGCCAGGGAGATAACAGACAGATCTTAAGGAGCAAGGAGGACTGCGGAATAATATGACCGACTTTTATCAACATTCCCAGCACAGGGGTGAGAAAGCCAGTGTGGAGTGCTAATAGTTCTCACGAGAGCCGCTAAAGAGAGCACACCATACTACATTTAAATAAGTAAAAATTGTGCTAATGGTGATTAGCCCAAGACGGAAGGAGAGATGCCACGATTGTTTTGGACACAATTGGTCAAAGGATCGGCTTGACTTTTCTCCGTGACGAATTTTAATATGACGCTAAGACTGGCAGTGCTCATTGGCTATGTCGGCGAAACGTCTGGGAATGTAACACCTCCATGGTTTGACTCTGGAAATTATCATGGATACTATGGACTCCGGACTAGGTTCATTCATCTGTCTTCCTACCAATATGAAGAAATTGTGAAAACAAGGTCAAACAATTTATTTAACATTTATCTATATGAAAATATCCAGTTTAAAACAAATGACCTAAGAATTAAACAAAATTAAATAAAACGTCGAAACTCGGCGTTAGGATGAAATATAAAATTCTCCAGACAAGTCAGGCTTAGTAAAATTTTGGGTCAGTTAAAATGTATTCACATAGAGCAAAAAAGCACTAAGGAAAAGTAGGGAAAATTAACGATTAAGATAAAAATATTTCCAGAGATAAAGGTTTGCTCTAGAAAATTGCTTAAGACTTTCTTTTAGGATATAGTTTTGATGTTATAATTCATGTATTGACGTCAAAATCCCAACAAGCTAAGCACCTATTTGTTCTTATCAAGAAGTTGATAAGATAAGAAATCCACGTATGTAAGTATACATACAACAGTACTAGGTATATGAATTCAAATATATTAAAGAACCAATGTGTTACTTGGTGAGGTAGGCCCTTTTAGCATTAAGTTAACTTCCTAAATGTTTTGAAGCATTTGTGTAGTTATTACGAAGTAGCTAATATTTTATTAAGAGGGAGCTAGTTATAGCTAATAGGTACCAGAGTATATCAAAAGGGATAATAAATTCAGTCTAAAAATCGAAATTACATTCGATCAAGTTACTCAAAGGATGGTCTGACTGCCAAAATTAAGGATGATCTCCAGGGGAAAAAGTAAATGTCTCCAGCCAGTGCAGAAAAAATTCCACCTTGAGTTGAATTTAATGAGTCAATCCTATGCTAATAGAGATCAACTTAAGATTTATCCTAGTGCATCAAAAGCTCGAAGCCCAAATGCTCTTTTCCCCCAACTCACTCATGCACCGATTTGTCGTTGTATATTCAGCTAATCTGACACTTGATAAGTTTGTATTCCCACGAAACAAAATGATACACATTTT